TGTACTGGAATGTACTCATCTTTACTTTCTAAATGTCCAGAGTATTGTTTTGAACATAGCATGTGCTCAGAAAGTGTTTGTTGGCCCAAGATGATCTAAAAGAAGATTGTAGTTGGTTTAAGGTGAGTGTTAAGTGTCAATTCTTTTTTTTTTTTTTAAGATTTTATTTATTTATTTGAGAGAGAGGCAGTGAGAAAGAGCATGAGCGAGAAGAAGGTCAGAGGGAGAAGCAGACTCCCCATGGAGCTGGGAGCCCGATGCGGGACTCCATCCCGGGACTCCGGGATCATGACCTGAGCCGAAAGCAGTCGTCCAACCAACTGAGCCACCCAGGCGTCCCTTAAGTGTCAATTCTTTTTTTTTTTTTTTTAAAGATTTTATTTATTTATTTGACAGAGAACACAAGTAGGCAGAGAGGCAGGGAGAGAGAGAGAGAGGGAAGCAGGCTCCCCGCTGAGCAGAGAGCCTGATGTGGGGCTCGATCCCAGGACCCTGAGATCATGACCTGAGCCGAAGGCAGAGGTTTAACCCACTGAGCCACCCAGGCGCCCCAAGTGTCAATTCTTAATGGAGTCTCAGTACTTCAGTCTTCCACAGTACTTTTGTTAACACAATGAAGGTTGTTTTTGGTAGGAAATAAATAACAGTTGAAATTATCAATAACTTGAAGAAGGGACCCTTCCCTTCCCAAGAGTAGATGGATATCTTTTACTTTAAAAGATCACTGGTTTTACTGTAGACAACTGTCTAGAGACACTTTTATTTTTCTACCCTTTACTTTCCTTCAGAACTCTGAAGTTTTTAGCTAATTAATATGACTTAAATGTCTTCTATTTTATTTCACACGTTAAAATTAACTCAAGGAAGCAAAAGTAGCCCTGAAGGTTCCTGTGAGCTATTGGAGGAAAGTTAAAATTCAGTGTTTTAGCTAATAAACAAAAGAGGAGATGGTGTTAACATGGCCTTTTTATACTACAATGATAATAGAATTAGAAAAATAGATTGGGAAAGAGCATGGTTATAGAATATATGTGTATCAACCCAAGTTGGCATTTGGAAAAGACTTTCTATAAAGCTAGCATTTGAACTGCTAAAGGCATTGTATTAATGCAACAAATCAAAGTAAATTAAGCCTCATGCCATATTCTGCAGTGCTCCTATTGTACACTAGTGTTGCTCTATATAATGACAGTTGATAGCTAGGTTCACTAAACATCTCAATTTAATTATCAGTATCTTTGGAGCATCTAGAGAAGCACATCTGAATTAGGAAAGATTAGAAAGATCTTTTTTTTGTACTTTAAATTTCAGTATATAAATATTATACAACATTAAAAATATACCTGGTTTTATGGGTTTTAAATGTGCAGAATTAATAAAGCAGGGGATTTCTTCTTTTCATATTATTTGAAGTATCTAATGTAGGACCATTTCAGTAGGGAGCTCATTTCTGTATGTATGTATGAAGGTGTGTCTGTAGCCTACCTCAGATTTACAGACTAAAGAAAGTGAGTGAACCCAGGGTCTTTAAGAGACTGGAGGAACCAAAAAATTTCCAGATGGCAGGGACCCCCTACGGTCTGAGAAAGAGAGAAAGGGGAGGGTTGTGCATGAGTGACAAAAAGAAAGGTTATGAAGACATAGACTATGACTTAAATTAGAATCATCTTTGCTGTTAATTCCAACTGAAGTTTTTTTGTTGCTTATAAAAATATAACTGATTTTGTATAACTGAAAAAGAGAATGAGGAAACAGAAATTATTTTACAGGATATCCTGAAAGCTAATTTTTACTGATTGCTGATATTTCTTTAAGAGATGGGAGACTTTTTCAGATAACAAATGCACTCCCAACCTTTGATGAAAGTCATTTGTTATCCTGGGTCACAGTCACTGAGGGGAATTGGTTAGATCCTATAGGTAAGTTGATGTTTAAAAAAAAAAAAAAAAGGTTTAGTTTTCTTTTTCCCCCCAGAGGATTACCAAACCATCTTTACTTTCTGAAATAAAGTGAATCATTGAAAGTGTCACTTGAGTTTAACCAATATTAAATAACCGTATTGGGTGTTTCAGAAGACATAGGTATAAATGATTTATAAATGGGAATAACTTGCTGGTTGCAATTGCATTTATTTTGATGGAAGCACAATGTTCTTATACAATGTTCTTTTCACATTTCTTGTTTGGCATTTATTGTAAGAAACAAAGCATTTCTGGAATGCTCATTTTAATTTCAAAGCTCAGGCTAGTCTATGGAAAACATTTGGTGCATGGAGGATCTGAACAATAATAGAGGAATGTTCAGTGGGAAGCGTCATGAATTGTGGCACCTAAAATACATTCTGAGGGAACATTTAGACAATGGAACTTATTTTTCATTTTAAACAAAGATTTTAAACTAGGTGCTATAATTTGTCTTAATCTGAACCAATATCTTTTAACTCTTTTATATAAATTAGACTGACAATAGTGAGAAATTTGCCTTTTGGAGTATGTGAAAATCCATAGTCAGGCGTATTATCATCTTTATTTAATTCATAATAAAGACACTTGGCCCTATTTTACTGCTTGCAAAACATACAGAATGTGTTCTGTTAACGGACTTCATTACATTTAGCACAGGGGACCCCAAGAGCAACATGAGGGTAGTCCCAAGAGAGCACCTCTGATAAGGATCCCATAACAGATTTTCTGTATCCACGTGGGGAATGGACTAGAAAATGTGCATTAAATGTCAACCAATATCTGTGTTATGTTGTGGATTTTTTTTTGAAGACTTTATTTATTTATTTGACAGAGACACAGAGAGAGGGTATACAAGCACAGGAATGGTGAGGGAGAAGTAGGCAGGGAGCATGATGTGGGGCTCGATCCCAGGACCCTGAGATCATGATCTGAGCTGAAAGCAGATGCTTAACAACTGAACCACCCAGGCTCCTCATGTTGTGGATTTTATAAGACATTTTACATATTTAACCTTCACACAGTCATAGGATAATATGATTGTTCTCATTTTCTAAGAGAGGAAACAAAGACTTGCTACAAGGTACTGCACTATGGGTTGTGAACATGAGAATAAAGCAAATTAGCATTTTGGATGGATAAAGAGATAAAGAGAAGGGCAGGCAAAAATTATTTTCATCTACATATTTCCCCCATAACTTATAAGTTCTTTCTTAATTGCTAGTTAAAAAACTGGGTCCAGATATACAAATAAACAAATATGTTGTGCTCTATAAGCAATAAACAAGCCAAACCTCTAGGAGCTACAGAACAGGAAGGATTATGTATAGCACATTGTCAAAGATGTGGTGCATGGTTGTTAAAAGCCTTGGCTATTTGATGATAAGTAGGAGTCTAGCTTTCTATAAGAGTTTCAGGTCTGCCATTTTAAATACTGGATACAACTTTTTTTTTTTCTTCCTCTATAGTGGGTATCTTCCAGCTTTGCTTATAAAAATATTAATCAAATTTATTATTGGGATTCAAGGTTTAATTAATAAATGGATATTTTTTACAATGTAATTTTGTATGAGATTTAGTTTCCAAATACAGATGCTTAATTTTTTTTTAAGGTTTTCTTTATCTGTTTGTTTATTTGAGAGAGAGAGAGAGTGTGAGTGGGGGAAGGAACAGAGGGAGAGGGACAAGCAGACTCCATGATGAGCATGTGGCCCAATGCAGGGCTCAACCTTACAACCCTGAGATTTTGACCTGAGCCGAAATCAAGAGTGGTCACTCAACTGACTGAGCCACCCAGGTGCCCCAGATGCTTCATTTCTATCTCTAAATAATGGCCTTATTATTAGTTTATCCTTTTTTTTTTAATAAAAAAAATATTTTATGTATTTATTAGGGAGAGCACAAACAGGGGGAGTGGCAGGCAGAGGGAGAGGCAGACTCCCCACTGAGCAGTGAGCCTGCTGTGGGCTAGATCCCAGGACCCTGGGATCATGACTTGAGCTGAAGGCAGACGATTAACCGTCTGAGCCACCCAGGTGCCCCTAGTTTATTCCTATTTTAAACATATTTACAAAAGGAATAATGCTCATTATTAACATACTCAGACAATTCAAAATATAAAGATTAAAAAACCCCTCTTTTCAACTATCCCATTCATGAAGCCATTTATATAATACATATTTTATTGGACACCTACTTTGTGCATTGTTCTGGGTGCTGGAGGGAAAAAAACACATTTTCTGCTTTCATGGAATTTACATTTTAGTATTGGGAACATGAAATAAACATATAAACAAAAAAACAGGTTCTGTAAGTTTTGTGGAAATATAAAGTAGGGTAAGGGGAAAGATTGAGAGAGGGTGGGGATGGGATAATCAAGAAAGTCTTTGATTAGGAGATAGGAGACTTTGATAGGAGACTTTGAACAAGACCTGTTTTAGAGTCCTAATGAGTTAGGGGAGAGTGTAGGAGACAGGTAGGAGAGGTTACAGAGGGCCAATATGTAGGTCATGATTTGGGTTTTGTTCCTCTAAGGTAACCAGTGTTTTATGTTTGAGTGGTTCTGTACCCCCTCCACATTAATAATTTCTATACTTAGACTAATACTTACTAATACTTACTAACCGAATTATGATGATTTTTGCCACCCTCTTAATATAGATTGCTGGCTACAAAGTCATATAAATAATTATTATATGTAAATATTTATACATACATGTAATACACACACATGCACACACTGCATTGTTTCAATAGTAAAACTTGATAAGTTTCAATCTCTGTGGCTCTTCTTTCCTCCTGTCCTTTCTTTCACCCTTCTTACCTCCTTCCTTCTTTCCTTTTTATCTTTAGTTGGAAATTCCATAGTGGCTGATAATATTGCTCTTAATGTATTGACTTGACTTATGAGGGTGTATCAGTAGTACTGGGAATAAATCATGTTTCTATGAAATACTTCCTTTTGTTCTAGGCTGTGATGTCCCAGGACTATGTTCTCACAATTTGTCTAATGAGTGGCTTGTATTTTTCCAATTTTAGGTTACTACACTTGTAAATTGTCCCCAGAATCCTTCCAACAGGAAAAAAGGACGTTCAAAACGAGCCAGAGTCCTCCTAGCTTCTGTGGAGGAAGCAACTTGGAATTTATTAGACAAGGGGGAGAAGATTGCTCAGGAAGCCACAGTTTTGAAGAAGGAGCTTACTACTGCACTTGAGGAAGTTCGCAAAGAAAGTGAGTACTCTAATTCTGGTCAGGAGCAAACTGTATATCCTTAGGGTGTTAGCTATGGAATTAGATTTGTGAGTGTTTTGTTTTTGTTGACTTGAGTTTATTAGCTCTACAAAGACCTCTGAGGAGCTAGCTGTGGGAGGCAGAGTGGCTCATTAGTCAGCTCTAAGGCTCAGGGTACTATTCCTGGTTCTTTCCTTCAGTTGTTTAGTCCCTGCAGGCTCTTTCTTCCCCTCACATGCCATAGTTTATTCATAATAAGCAAAGAGAAGTGTATCCTGTTTTGTCATAGATATAATGAGAAATGACTAATGAAGCTGAAGGTGTATTTTCCCATACATAAATAAATTATAAAGTTCCTTGTTAATAGTTGGAGATAATAAGTTACAGACCTGACCACTCAGGAATACATTTTTTATTTTTCTATTTTCTAGTTTAGATTTACTAAACTTAAAAATAAATGCTTTGCATAAACTATGCATAACTCATGTTGTTGCTAAGTTAATATTATAAAATGAAAGTGTACATTTTACCTTTTAATGTATTTACTTATGATACTACAACAGTTTTCTAACATGTAAATATCATTCGCAGTCTGTTTTGTAAAAGAACTGTTCTATTTATGCATCATCTTGCTGCAAGGAACTATTTTGAGAGGATAAGAAAACTTAAATATTCCTGTTTGGCTGTGTGAAGGAGACTTGGGGTGTTGAAATATTTCTCTTCCCAACATAACTTTATGAAAATCAGGAAATGTTTGCTAATTAGATAATTAAGATGAATATAGTAGCTACAATAAACTTAACATCAAATATAAGGGAGCTATTTTTTATTTGCTATATATTGTTATATATGATTGATATTTTATAGAGACTCCTCAGAAAATATAAAGAAAACAGAATACCTAAGATAATTTCTCATGAATTCATCATTCCTCCCTCCCCCCTGCCACCTTAGACCCACTCTTCGTTCTGTCCTCTCTGTTCTGGTACCATCATTTACATTAGTAACCAAGTCAGTTTAGACTCTTTCTCATCCCCCCTCTCTTCCAGTTAGTCTCCAAGTTTAACAAATTCTGTCTCCTTTTGTCTTTCAGATCTTTCCCTCTTCTCCATTACTAATGTTGACTCCTGAATTTAGGATTACTGCATTAGCCTTACCTTATACCAAAGCCAAATATATCCTTTAAAGATGAAAATATACTCATTTTGCTTCCGTGCTTAAAATCCTTTCTGTAGCTTTTGAAGGATTAGAGGGACCGTGTTTCTGGATCAGGTTCAGATGTTTAAACTTCGCTCCCTCAGCGCTTCAGAATTGGGCTTCTGCCATTCTCTCCCTTCTCATTCCCTGATTCTGTCCCCCTCAAACTTTCCTCCAAACAAGAACTTAAGGTATCTTGAATGGTTCATGTTGCACTTCTGTTACCAGCTGCTGCCTTCACCTGGATTCCCCCTCTCATTCAGCCAATTATTCATTGTAGCAAAGCTCAGCCAAGGTCTTTTCTGGGAAGTGTGTACTGACCTCATAATGCCGATTTAGATGTCCCTCTTCTCTGTCCCCACAGACTCTGAGCATCTCTCTTTCATAGGCTTTACTACCTCATACACCAAACATTAATTTACATGTTCAGTAAGTCTAGACTCTTAATTCCTTGAAGGTGGCAAATACCTGGTCTTATTTGATGAGCAAGGCCTGACACATAACAACCACCTAACAAGTGTTTGTTAAATAAAAAAAAAATGGAGCATCATTTTTTTCACTTTCTATTATATAATTTTATAATGATTTTATCTTTGCACTTGTGACATTATCTCAGGGTTTCTTTGCTGAGTCTTTTGGTAAGGAATATGAATGCTATCCTAGTACTGTTTTTATCACATAATGTGATTTATTTGACAACATAGTTTTTATAAAACACCTAATAATAAGTATATATGACATTGGTCATTCTTAGGGAACACTAATAGTTGTCATGAAATGGTATATCTTTAAAAAAAGTAAAATAATAAAATTATTTTAAAGAGAAGGTCTCAAAGAGAAGTACATTTGAATTCTAGGATTATGTTATATATCCTTCGCTATGTTCTATTATAATGTGTGCAATCATATGATGTGATATATATGGCATATGCTGTATACACAACAAATCTATTTGGTTAAAAATCACCAAGTGCTTTATACTAGGATTCTTTCTGACAAACTGCCAAATTGAACTCCCGCCACTTGAGTGTGGGAGGAAAGCAGTGAAATGGCAAATGGTTCTGGAATTTGGGGAATGGCCAATGCTTATCCTATGGATAGCAGAGATAGTAACAGTAGAGCACTGTTCCGAAAAACTTGGAAGGAATTTTAGCTCAGTGGGGAGTTGAAGTATCAGGAGATTGAATTCTGATTCAAGCAACCCTTTGATACTAGAAACATATTTTAGTTTCCAGCCTTTTTTTTTTTAAGGGCTTTGTCCAGTGGCACAATGCAAAGGACTAATGAAGAGCAAATAATAAGTTTAAAGTATTTGGGAAAGTTAAAAAATATTGGAGGTAGAGGATATTTTTCTTTGTATATTTATTGACTTCTTTTCTTTTCTTTTTAAGATATTTATTTATTTATTTGACAGAGAGATAGAGAGTGCGCAGGTAGGTAGAACGGCAGGTAGAGGGAGAGGGAGAAACAGGCTCTCCACTGAGCAGGAAGCTTGATGTGGGGTTCGATCTCATGACCTTGCGATCATGACCAGAGCTGAAGACAGCCACTTAACTGACTTAGCCATCCAGGCGCCCCTACTGACTTATTTTCAAGAAGAATTTGAGAGTAATTTAGAAAATGTATTCTTCTACTAAAGGCTGTAATTTATGTAGCATTACAACAGGGTTCTGTTTTAATCTGTTTTACTGACTTTAGTGCTTTAATTTGAGACCTGAAGTGATAAATAATGTGGACATTTGATTACCTAAAGAATTTGCCTATGGAAGATAGGACATGGATAGTATTAGGGGAGGATGGTGAAAGGAACGGTCATATGTGGGTAGAACTGTAGAGATCCAGCAAAGTTGGCCCACATAGTGATTATTTTTCACTCATGATCTTACAGCTTACCCCTATACTTACATCTAAACAATGGCAAAATATTAAACCCAGGATTTAGTTTTAGAGTATTCACATAACAATTAGCTAGGAATTAGCTAAGAATTGTTTACAATGTTTGCACTACATGTTTTGCCTTTGGTATATATGCTACCTTCATATAGCCTCTATTGTACCCCTACAATGTATAGACATTGCTTCTAAGTCACATGATTGGTTATATTTAAGGTTTTATTTAATGATTTACCAAGAATAGGAAATACAGGAAAGTGCATCTATTATTGTGAACAATTCAATACAGTTTCACATTGTAAACATGCGCGTCAAGAAATAGAAACTTACCAGAATCCTAGGAGCACCCCTTGTGCCTCCAACCAGTTATTTCTTCACCTCAGTGGTAACAATTATTCTAGGTTATTACATAAGTTAGTTTTTTGCCTCTTTTGAACTTTGCATAACTAGGATCTATATAGTATGTTCTATCTCCTGATTCTGGCTTCTTTTACTCAATGTTGTGTTTGTGAGGTCTCAACATGTAGTAGTTCATTCATTTCATTGATAAATAGATCATAATTTATTTATTCATGTTAGATTGATGGACAGTTGAGTTTTTACAGTTTCTGGCCGTAATGAAGAGTGCTGCTCTGTACATATTTTTGCATTACTTTTTGTGCCTAAATGTAGATTTTCCTGCTGGTTTATATTTATGATGAAATCGCTAGTTCATAAAGTATATATTCAACTTAATAGATTTTACCAGACAGTTTTCACAGTAGATTTTCTAACTGACACTCATCAGTAATGTTTAAGAATTCCAGTTCCTTTACATTCTTACTAACTTGGTGTTTGCAAGAGTCAGTATTTTTGATGCAAGTGTATATAGTGGCTTTCTACTGTAGTTTTAAAATTTCTCTGATGACTTTTTGTATATTCTAGATATGAGTCTTTTGTTAGTTGTGGATATTAAAAATATCTTCTTTCTTTCATTATATTAAACATTTTTAATATTTAGAAGTAATTTTGATAAATTGGAGTTATTTTATTCCTTTATGGATAGAGATTTTTCTGTTCTGCTAAAAAAACTTGGCTTACTGTAAGTCAAGAAGATATTCTCGTATGTAATCATCTATGGGCTTTATTGTTTTGCCATTACAATCTACCTGGAAATAAATTTTTATGAATGGTCTGAGTTAGGGGTTATGATTTTTTTTTCATATGGGAATTCAGTTGATCCAGTATTATGTGGATGCATATGGAAATTTAATGTTTTAGTGTAGTTATTGAAAGAAATTAGTCTTTCTCAATTGAATTTCTTTGCACCTTTTTTTGAAAATCAGTTGACCATTATGTGTGTGTCTACTTAGGAACTCTCTTGTGTTTTATTGTTTTGTATGTCTACTTATACCAATATCACGTTGTCATGGTTATTGTACCTCAGAGTAAAATAAAATAAAAATTATCTTGATTTTGTAATTTTAGATCCCTTGCACTTCCATAGACATTTTGGAATCAGCTTCTTAATTAAAAAAAAAAAAATCCTGGGTGTCTCAGTTGGTTGGCCAGCTGCCTTAGGCTCATGATTTCAGGGTTCTGGGATCAAGGTCCACATCGGACAGGCTCCCTGCTAGGTGGGGAATCTAGTTTTCCTTCTCCCTCTGCCTGCTGCTCCCCCTGCTTATACTCTCTCTCTTTGTGTCAAATAAATAAGTAAACTATTTAAAAACAAAACAAAAACCAAAGACAAGCAAACAAAAATTCTGCTGGGATTTTGATTGGGATTAAATTGGGTCTATTAAAAAAAAATAAATTGGGTCTATAGATCAATTTGTGCTGAACTGACATTTTAATAGTAATGAGTCTTCTGATTCAAAAACAAGTAATTGATTTTTGTGGTGTTGTAAAATGGTACTTTAAAGATTTTA